CTTTCTAAGGCCTTACAGAGACAGCTAGTCAAAACAATTGGATGATAATTAGAAGGAATCTTGGGATCTTTCCTAGGCTTAGAGAAAAGAAGGACAACAGCCTGGTGCCAAGCACCAGGAAAAATGCTCTCCTGCTAGATCCAGGTAAAAACAAGAAGAAGAATAGCAAGAGAGGCAGGAGAGAAATGGCATAGCATCTCATAGTGAACATCAACAGGTCTGACCAATGTACTGCCAGACCGATGGAGAGCAAGTTTGAGTTCCACCAATGTATTGGGGCGATTATAGTCATAGAGATGATCAGCCCGAAAAAAAAGAGGTGATATCTCTGCCTGAGACTTGATGTCCAAGAAGGCGGAAGAAGAAACAGAAATGCTGGATGCATGAGAAAAACTCTCACACAAGAGTATTGGCGATGATCTGTACATCAGCAACTTCCTGACCATTGGAGAGAAAGATGGAAAAGGGATTGGGAGAATACCTCCCATTGAACTTCTGAATCTTATCCTTTATGACTTTGGAACTGGTGGTAAAAAGAGATGCTAGTAGTAAATTTAATCCAAGATTCCTTTTGGCTTTGACATCTGACCTGCCTAACATGTGTAACAAGCCCACTAGAAAGCGATGCAGTTGGAAAAAGTGGGAACCCGTGAAAAGTGTCCCAGGTCTGTTTCTGAGCCTTCCATGCCTGCTGGCAGGCTGAAGATTACCCTAGACAAGGATACTGTGGGAAACGTGTCAAGGTTTAGGTATAGAATGAACAGCTGCTTGAATGAAGCAATCAGTTACTGCCTTTACACAGTCGTTAATGGATGGAAGACTAACAACACCAGGATCAAGATCCGAGAGAGAGGTGAAAGAGAGCCAGCCGGCCTGGTCCAATTTCCACTGTGGTACTCGGGTCGAGTGGCATCGACCATGATCAATCTCCCCTAAAATGATAGGAAAATCATTACTGTCAACTCTTCAAAAGAAACAAGAGAAAAGTGAAGGGGGAGCAGACAGATAGATCTATGGCAGTAAAAGTATAAGAACCAGTACTGAAGGGAGAAAGGTTGTGATCCGAGAGCATACGCTCTATAGAATAACCCCTCCCATCAATATTGGCACCACCCCAGAGGGAATTGTGTCCATTAACGTCTCCCAGGATTGAAAGGGGAGACAACAACTGTTCAATGAGAGCATCAATGTCTGATTGATCATAAGTCTCTCCAGGAGACAGGTAGAGAGAACAAAGATTGATGGTACAACCCAAGGAAACACGGATGGCTATGACCTCCAAGAGTGTATTGAGTGACACCAACAATGTGGGCACATGCTGGTGTACAAGCAGTGCCACCCCTCCATGCGCTCATCTATCACACAACCTGTCATTCCAGTATAACGAAAACTGCCAACATGTGACTGTATCGGCAGGTTTCAGGAATTTTTACTGTAAGGAAAGACACATGGGATGATAGAAATCAATCAAGGCCTTAATGTAATATAGATTAGAATGAAAACATCGACAGTTCCACTGTATCAAATTAGCAATTTTTACTTAGGTGGAGGAGAACTAGGTGGAAAACCCTTCTGTTTATGACCATGCCATTTTTCTTTACTAGAAGGAGATCTATGGACAGATCTCTGTCATTAGATTTAGATTTCAGCGACAGAGGGCCTGAACGAATAATCATTCTGCATCTCAGGGCCAAAGAAGATGGACCCAAGAAGATACTGAAAGCCAGGGCCAAAAAAGGTGGACAGTCACTGGAAGGAATGTTGGTTACAGAGATAGGACTTGCCAACTCAGTTATCCACTGAGGGCAAAAAGACTCTTCACATGATGCAAAAAAGACACTGACAGAGGCACAGAAAGGTCCTTCTGCACTCCCACTGTAGCAGTAGAGCATAGTGCAGCAGCATATGGCCGAGATGGAGTAGGGGACAGTAACTTCCGAGCCTCAGAGTAAGAAATGTTGTTAACAGTTTTTTAATACTGTACCTCTCTCTCCTCTACCCATTTAGGGCAAGAATGATAGTAAGAGGGGTGAAAACCACTACAATTAATGCAGTGAGAGTCCAGTTCACACTCATCTTTCTGCACTCCCACTGTAACAGTGGAGCGTAGTGCAGCAGCATATGTCCGAGATGGAGTAGGAGACAATAACTTTTGAGCCTCGAGGTAAGAAACATTGTTAACAGTTTTTAAATGCTGTATCTCTTTGTCCTCCACCCATTTAGGGCAAGAATGATGGTAAGAGGGGTGGGAACCCCTACAATTAATTCAATGAGGGTCCAGTTCACACTTGTAAGAATCAAGGTCTTTGCCACCACAACAAGATGCTTTCAAATGACTGAACTACTGACACTGGAAAAATCTGAGAGGGTTGGGAATATATAACCATACCTTACAGTTCAGATTACCTGCCTAGACAGCGGCAGGTGAATGTGGCGATGTAAATGTCAAAATAAGAACATTGGTAAGCAACATTCCTTCTTTACGTAACACTGCAGAAAGTCCTTGGATGAAGAAACCAGTGAAGATCTCTTCCTTGGGGATGTTCTTCAAATCCCTTTCACCAATAACTCCTCACGAGGAATTCAAAGTAGCATGGGGAGTGACCTCAATGGGTATATCCACAATGGCCATTGAGTTCAGGAGGAATTCACTGTGTTTTGGTGTAGATGTTTCCACCAAGATGTCTCCAGAACGTAGCTTCTTAACTGACTTTGGAGAGCCAGCAAGCCCCTCTAATCCCTTTTGAATAAAAAATGGAGACATTTGCCCCAAAGGTTTGTCTGACAAGGAATGTAAGATCAAAAAACGAGGTACAGTTTCAGAATGGGTTGAAGATTGCTATCAGAGTCTTCAAGACATGGTCATTTACCAATTAGCTGTTTTTTTACTATTATATTTTTTTGAAGACTTTGGGGATCCATAATGAAAGGAGAAAGATTCAGTGCCCACTGACCCCACCCACCATGGGGTCCTACGAGGGGATGTACTACAATGCCAAACAAGGACACTGCAGCAATTCCAGGTTTCGTGAGCACTATACTCAAACACCAGCATCAGACACAATGTCTACAACACCTGTACTCAATTGACCTAAGTCCAACAGGACCAGCCAAAGTGGAGTGTTGCAGTGCCCCAGACAACACTCAACCACTAGGATCCTTTTCTCCCCTTCATGGGTCGCCATGCATGGCAAACACATGGGTGGATGTTCAGATCCAAGAAGAGGTAAACTGAAAATAAAGAACTTCCCTGGGAGGTCCCCTCACCACGTACAGGAATCCACCTCAAGGGGAACAACAGGTGAAACTCCAACAGTTACCCTTATTAACTTTCTTATGATATTCCATCAAATGATTCTCACAGTGGGGAAAGGTACTGAACAGTTATCATACTCAATATACTTATGAAAAGCCAGCAGATAACTGACACAGGAAAGGAAGCTGCATGTAACTGCACTTTTCAAAACAATTAAGAGATCATCATAAATTCTAGCATTACAACTATGAAAAGACAAAACTGTGAATCACCTATCTCAGTTCATTGATACAAAAATTAGGCATGTGAGTTGAAAGACAAATTACTGCTTATTAAGCCTATACTGTTGTTCTGAATTGAATCACAGAGTTTAGACTATCCAAATTGTTCATGAACCAAGGCTAGACCCTAGAAGAAAAGACCTTTGTTTGTTTTATTAATGTGGAGCCTGTATGCAAGATGAATATCATTCATAGTAAGGCACAAAGAGCTCACCTGCAGTGGTGCCAAGAAGACATCCAATAGACCAACAACGTATGTAGCAATATTATTTTTCTACTTGAGTCAAGCTTTGCCCTGTGGCCAGATAACAGGCCTATACCTGTTTGGAGAAAATCTGAAACAAAACTGGATTCACCCATATTTTCATATAGGAACATAACACGTGGTGGTAGAAGTATGATATGAACAGGAATAAGTGTCAGTAAACTCCCAACCTCTACATTCATTAGAACTGTATCACTAATGTCACACATACTAGGGCTTCCAGGATCAATTGGCTTTGATTTCAGATTAATGGGCAATGACGACCCCCCCCCCTTCCCAATCATGCTAAACTGATCACCACATTTCTTGTGAAAAAGAAATTGATCAAATGGAGTGGCTTCCACTCATTGGACTTCAATCCTATCAAGGCACATAAAGGTTGCTCTTAGGAGATCCATAAGATTCTGTCGAATGAACCAGACACTAAAGATGTCCAGAAAATAGGTCTTCCAAAATAATGCCAAGGATAACTAAGGACTTTACTGATATTTATTTTATGCATGCAACACTGGTGCCAGGCTTCCTTCACTGTTCATAGTGATCATACTCCTTGTTGAAGTGAAATGTTATGAACTATAAAGATGTAAAGCCATATTTACCAGATGGTAACTTACAAGCATAACCTGATTGAATAATCAGCTAATTTAAGATCACATGACTGATCAACAGCAATTTACATAACAATTAACTGAAAGGTAGTTATTTATATTATTTTATAACATTGGTTTTGCTTGATCACAATTATAACACAAGTTCCAATGATTGTTTAATTATTCTGCACAATGTATTACCTGAAGAATGTGTACCAAAGGTTTGCAATTCTGAGAGAAGTTATTAAATTATTACATTTGACAATTATTTGAAAGATGCAAGTGCTAGCTAAATCATTACAAATATCAATTTCTGAAAAAAATATATATATATATATATATACACACACACACACACACACTCACTACATATCTGACACACTGAAAAGAGTTTCTAAATTATTAACTTGAACAACGTGTACCACATGTTTCACACAATGAGTAGAGTGAAAAGTAATTACACTTGACAGTTATCTTAAGAATTTTTACCACACATTTCTGATACAGGTAGAAGATTTAATGAACGGATGTTATACCTATAAGTTATCTGAGGAATGTCTACCAAGTATTTGACTCAGCAGGAAGAGCTGTTGAAAAGTCATACTCACCAATCATTTGAAGAATGTCTACCAGATGACTATCTCCACTATCTCCTGTGCAAAGTTTAACAAGAGTTCTCATAAATCCATCCATCACTGTTGCAAGCTCCACTTGCTGCTATTGATGAAAATTTATAGTATTAAAAATCTCCATAAAAACTACTGACTTTCAAATTTCTGTCTGCAAGTAAAATTGACATTTATGTACATGGTCAGTTTGTTGACCTTAACTACATATTTGATGTAGAATGTAAAAACTTCTTTTTTAAAATAAACATATAGAATTTAAACAATTTTGGGCAAGAAGCCATTGAACACTTCCTGAAACTATGACGTTTTGAGTCCATTTTACTTCACTCAAAACCCCATAGATATTATATGCACTTCCCCTTTGTAAGAGGCCTAATGGTATTTGTTTGATTTTCTGACCTAAGCTGCACTGATGAGCATTGAATAAGCAAAACTGCAGTCCACAGCAGAGGGTACAGCCAATCAAAAATGCATTAGGCCTCTGTGTCACACATTCTATTTTCAATTTCGCCTCTGGTGAAAAAGAAAAGAAATCTTTGACATATATATATATATATATATATATACTTCCTTAAAGATAGCATTTTCCTACACTGAAAATGTATTTCTGTATAGATACTTACCTCTCTCACAAAATAGCTTTACTCGTCTAGCACTGCCCTCTATTAGTGTTAAATTTTTAAT